TATATATATATATATATATATATATATATATATATTGCATTACGCTTATTTTAACTAATCGAGAAAGAAAGGTGGTATGGTTGAAGTTGGAAGCCTTGAAGCAGTATAAAGATACGTGAATTGAAAAGTTATTAGGAAACTTCATGTTTGTCAAATGTTTAGCTTGTAAAAGTGTCTGTTTTTGACATGGAGAAAGCATGGGTTGCCAAATAAAATTTTTTAACTGGCTTTTCCTTGGGGCCGAAGAGAATTTATCCACAATTGATCCCAACATCAGCAACATTTGATCATAGTGAGGAAAGTAATTTGAGAAATTTGTTTTATTGGCATTTTAGGCAGTCAACATCCTCTATTTGTACACTCTCTGTGTTGTTTTACTAATTTTGTTTTAGAGATTGAGCAGCTTTATGGAATTACTTGTTTTTCTTGTTCTTTTAGCCTCACTCCCCTCTTTTCTTTCTAATAACTTTTTGTTTAAAATAAAATGATTAGGTAAGATAGTTCCTACTTCCTATTTGATCTGTCATGGCTGAAAAGGAATTCTTCTATAAGCTCATAATTGTAGTAATTATGCTATCCTTACCAAGACAGCTAATTAATCATTTATAGTTTTGTAAGTCCCAGTTATTTATTTGATTAAAGAGAAAAGTGTTAAAATAAAAATTATTATGTATTAAAATATAAATTTGCAGATGAAAGTTTCCACAATGATCATAATTTTGTAAAAGGCTGTGACGCAGTCACTCCATTAAAGTTTTATGTTTTTCATAATGTTGTCTTCTTGCTTATCTTTCTCCTTTTCTGCTTATCAAACACACCATAATGGATTTCGAATTTCATTGTGCTATTAACTGGTTGAACTCAGGAGGCAATCTACTGATTTGTTTTCACTTTCTTTAATATATAGACTTGTGCAGGTGCTGTAGTGCTCACTGACATTGTATTCTGGCTTGTCCTTTATCCATTTATGACACCCCATGATTTCCAGCTGAAATTTGTGAGTATTATTGATTTTGTCCCTGGTCTGCCATTTATCCTTATAGTTAAGAAAGTTATACTTAACAAGTTAATTTACTAATAAAAGTTTTGAGGAATGTTTGGCCTTTCCTTTCTAGTTTCAGTTTTGTTAAAAAAATTTGGAACACTTTGGAAATTTCCATTGAATATCAATGTTACTAATGAGAGTGTTCTCCTGTTGCAACTCATCATATCCTTGAATCCAGCTGTATCCTATTTTGCTTAAATGTGAGGGAACAGTTTTGCTATTTTTTTTAATTCAAATTTTTGCTACCAGTAATTCTGTCTTTCACTTACATGACATTCATCTAGAACATGTTGCATGTAATTAACATTTAGAGCATTTTCCAGCATGTGCTAAACATTGATTACCTCACGAAATACGTAATTAATAGGTGTAGTTGTTTGAAATACCTTACGATAGAACAACCAAATAAGCCAAAGAAAGGTTATTGAGGGTTTATGAATGTACATAGTATTCACTTTTAGTTCTAATAGAATATGATAGTACTTTTCTACTCATAATATATTTTCCTAATGAACCCTTAATGTTTTTACTTTTCAATTTGCAGATGGATGTTTGCTTGCACTCCCTTAATGCTATATTCCTCCTCGGAGACGCATCATTGAATTGCATGGTGATTTTTATTTTATTTTCTTTTTGCTTATATTATTTCTCCTTAAATACCTAGTTCCAATTTACAACTACTTCTCAACACATGCAGAGGTTTCCAGTGTTTCGATTTGCATATTTTATTTTGTGGACGGCTATATTTGTGGTTTTTCAGTGGGTCATCCATGCTTGTGTTTCATTATGGTAAAAACGATTATCCCATTTCCTGATTGTTGCTTTTCACAAGACACAATTCTGTTGTTCATAGTTTTGCTAACCGTTGTTACAGGTGGCCCTATCCTTTCCTTGATTTGTCATCCCCATATGCGCCCTTATGGTATGTTCTTAAATTCAATGCATCCACCACTCATATAGAATCCATAAAATTAAAAATTAACCTCACCACTGATTGACATAAGCTTATCCCATCACATGAGAGGATGTTGTTGCATATCTAGTGATGTTGACATCGAAACTAGAATTTTTGTTTTGGTCAACGCTTGCAAATATGCTAAACTTAAAAATAAACTTGCTAGCAAGGAGCAATTTATTATGCCACATTTACATGTGTTTATCTTATATGTTACTGAATGCTGCAATTGGTTATGAAACTAATATAGGCATTAAGATGATGACGTGTATCTCTTGTTGGACCTTTTAGGTACTTAGCTGTGGGTGTATTGCACATTCCATGCTATGGCGTTTTTGCTTTGGTAATGAAGTTGAAGCACTTGTGGCTGTCAAAATTGTTCCCTGAGTCCTGTCAGTTTGTACGGTGATAATACATTCAAGAATAGTCATCGGAGTAGGGCTACTTTCACTGTGGCAAAAGAATATTTGATCTGAATATCAGAATTGAATCCCCCCTCCCCTCAAAAAGTGTTTAGATGACTGTATTTTATTTTGTTTTTGCGGGTGTAGTTGTGGGGATATGTATTTGTATTTGCTACTTTAGATTGAATTCATGAAACTTCTCTGATCTAACCATGTTTATGGTATGGTGTCTTCCATAATATCCTCCTACATCGAGTTAATCAGCCTAAGTAAAATCTGCATAACTATTTTGTATTCAGTTAGGATATTAATAGCATCTGCATTTTAATTGAAAATGGATTGTTTTTGGTGTATACACTATTGTGATGTTCTTCGTGCTGACTACATGGCTGCTACTCTAGTTTTTTCGGCTACAAGAGTACTAGTCTAGTTTAATAAACAAAAAAAGTGTCAATAGAATTTTGCACCAACTCAAGATAAGGCTAATGCCTTCCCAATGAAAAATATGTACCCCATGCAGAGCTTCAATCAGAACCGGTTTTTCTAAAGTAAGCAAAGCAGTAACTCTTTTAAAGCAACATAATCTTGGTCATTATTGAGAAATCAATGTTTGATATTATGTATATATACATAATAAATTTAATTAGAGCGATACTGCAATGATAAATTTCATAAAAACCTAAACCCTAAACAGTCAAAGCCGAGCGAGAAGACATCTCAGGAGGATGGATGCTCTTGGTATTACTCGATGAGTAAGCGCGTGACACAAACAACCCAAATTCCAAGCATTTCCCAGATGCCCCCATGAATTTTTTATTGGATGAGAATAAAAAACTACTATTGTGGTTAATGGTTAGAAGGAAGAACCGGCGCCATGTTGCCACTCTAACCCAGAATTGTCATATTAAATTTACAAAACCTTGCATTCTTGGGCTTACAGTTTGGGAATATGAGGGCCCCGCCACATTAGGGAGTGATGATATCTGCAGCTATAAGTTTTTCTTGCTAAGAGCATGCTTCAGTGGGATTTGGCTCATTTTAATCGTTGAATAGAAAAATATGGTTTAACATTCTAATACATACATGCATAATTTTTTATGCATACATACGTAATGTCTGTTAACCATTGATTTTCTGATCAACAATTAACATCACTTACTTTTTCCTCTAAAGGGGATTATCATTTTAACAGAGCCAAATCCGATTCGGGTAGAACTAGTTACCAATCATTACATGACGAGCAGCAGCATGATGATGATTACATAAATGGGCAAATGATTCGTTGAATTGCATTTTGGTAAAACAACCCTCTACCTTTTCTTGGTTATGCCACCCAACGTAAAAGTTAAAGTGACCAAAGGAGAAAAGCAACCAAAAGAATCTGAATAAAGTTGAGAACAAGGGGCAAAAAAGCACGTGACGCAGCGGAAGAGAACAGATAAAAGTAAATACAAAGTACCGATACAATTGGATGAATCATTAAAGTCTAATAAGTATACCAGGATTTACCATGAAGTAAATCCTCATTGCTCCCAACATAGTCATTCCTACTCCAAACAACCCCAACCCCAAACCCCTTTCTCATTTTAGCCTCTTCTCATCCAAACAGCACATTGAAATCTAAGTAACCAAGATAAAAAAAAAAAAAAAAAAACGCTACTCATTCGTTCAATTCAACAAAATCTGAGTTTAAACCCAATACCCAGCTATTGCTTTACATGTTCTCTGATAAACTCTTCCAGCTGAGATATCTCCCCAGTTAAACCAGAAGCATCTGCAGTTGTTACTTTGTTAGAGCACTGGGTAAAAGAAAATGGCTCGCCGGGTACCCCCAGGGTGAACTCATTTGCAATGTCAGCATCTGATATTGCGCTTCTTGATGCCCGTAATTTGTCTCTGGAAAAGAATATCAAGAGTCAAAAATAGAGCCGACAGTGAAATCATGAAAAAAAATCAGGTTATCATATATTAAATAATAAATAACTATACACATTTTCAAGATCAAAACAAATCAATCAGTTGATTAAGAGCGTAAAAGATAAGCAACTAAATAAATGAAGCTAAAAGATAAGAGTATTTAAAAGAAAATAGAAGATAATTCAATGTGAACCAATCAACAATAACGGCATTGACATATGAATGTGCATATGTCCCATCCAACAGACCACAAAAATTATCAACTGGACAATAAAATGAAATCATAAAGTAATTGCTGATTGATAAAGTGAGTAGAGATAAAAAAAAATTGGGATTTAAAGGCATACATTTCCTTCTCTATCTGTCTTCGGATAAACTCTTTTGTATGAGCAGTGACTTTGTCTGTTTTGTTGCAGAGGATAAGCACTGGAATCTTCTTCTTCACAACACTTCCTTTAGTCAATAGATCATATAGGTACCTAACAAAATAAACGACAATGTTAGTATCCTTTTTATCTGCTGACATCCCTTCTTCCTAAGGACTTAAGGAGTAGTGGGAAATGACCAGTTATTTAATATTAAATGCTAAAATATCTTAAGAGTATGTTGATACTTCCCACCACGGAAGACAAGTGGCTCCCTGATAATATCAATAAAAAGTGCTACTTCATACTTCCTATAAAGATGGTAACCTAGCAAATGAACAGAAGGAATTACTCTGAAGCAGCACGACAGTTTGGTAAGAAGTCCAAAGCATCGACCACAAAAACTATCCCAGCTGCTTGAGGTAAGTACTCATCCAGTTTGGGTCGAAGCCGAGAATGCCCAGGAACATCAACAATATGAACAGGTTTTATCTTGCCCTTCTGTCAACATAAAAGAAATATAAGAAAATATTTAAGTCTATTCTATTGTCTGATTCCACAATCAACAAAGAAAGATAAGAAAATAAAATATACACAATTTCATCTACTATGACATCCCAAACAAATTTCATCTAACAATAAAAGGTTAATATCCTCTATTTCTAGAGATGAGAAGCACAATTTTTTGCATCTTAAAGGAGAAGTAAATGTTTAGGCCTGTACATTAAAGCAATTATTTGAGTGTGGGAGGCTAAAATGTTACCCTTGTTTTCTCACTGTGAAGAATAAAAGTGCCTTCATTAGGTTCCATTGATGTAACAGTACCCTGATGAGTAGAGCCATCCCTAAGCTGCAGCAAGCATGAAAAGTAAGTCAAGAACATTATGTTAGCATGGAAAAAAGTCAACACAAGGAAAGCATGCTTGTTAATACTTCCCAAGGAGCCTGATTACAAAATGTTTTCGTTTTTGAACAATTCTTGAATGAGTACAATGCCTATAGCCACAGCACTCAAAAAATCAAGATGCATCAAAATAATAATGAAAAGTACAAAAAGGGAATGAAGTCTGTTGAAAAATTTTAAATGTCATCCTGAGCTTATTGGTTGTGACTATAGAGCATAGACAATGACCTCATACAAGCTCCATTTGGTCATAATTAACTACAATTGTTTCCTTTGTTACATAATCATTATTGCAACCAACAATCAAGGCACCAATGTTATCCATTGCGAATTGCAAGAAATGGCAGAAAAGCCAATAATCTGCTACATCATATAACAGATAGCATCTCAGGCAAATAGGGCGCCTAGAAGTTAAAAATAAAAGGCATACGAATTGACATAATATTAACTCAAAAGTTCAATTAGTTGAAGACTCGGCAGAGATGACAAGAGAATGTAGGATACATGCTACAAACATGACACCATAATAGCCACAATTGCGGACGGAGTTGTAATCACAGATCCAAGGAATTACGCAATGCAATGGCGCTATAGCACCGCTACAGCGGCTATTTACCAACACTACAAGGCACCAGGCTATGCATTTCAAAGATCCAAGGAATTGCGCAATGAAATGGTGCTATAGCACCGTATAGCGGCTATTTAACAACACTACAAGGCACCAGGCTATGCATTTCAAAAACTTTTCAGCAATGACCTAACCTAACCCTCACTCCCTCAGTCCCTCTTCACCAAGTGTAAAACCTAATACAACAATTTATCTCCAGATTCCAGATTAACCAAAACAATCCAAACCACAAATTAAAAAAAACTGAATTGAGGATTAACATCAGAAGCAATGAACGCAGAAACTCAATAATTGTGATTTGGAGCAAACACCTGATAGAAGATAACAGTTTTTCCACTCCCGCTGAGCCCGGTCAACACAACGGTGTTTGACTTAGCACGCTTGAACAACCTCACTACAAACACAAACCAATAATTAACACTGATAATCGATTAAAAGTGTAAGAATTCGACAATACCGCGAAACTCACGCGAGAGAAGAAGCAGCGTTGTGAAAATCGCGATAGCAGCAGCAGCATAGAGCTGATCGGGGGGAACCTCGCGAAGACGATCCACAGCTAGGTTACAGTAGTGAGAAAGCTGTTCCTTCCATTGCTCCAACTCTTCCATTGCGAAATCGAGTTTTCGGCGTTTCGTTTCGGTGTCGCGTTCGGCGTTCGGAGAGTGAGAAGCCGAGAGAGGCTCCGTCGCAGATAAAGAGGACACAAAGGCGAGTGCTACC